GGCCAAAGCAAAGGCAGTTAGGGTCAATCAGGCCTGCAGGGGAGCAAGCAGTTAGGGGCGAAATCAGGCTGGCAGGGGAGGGCAGTTGGGGTCGATCAGGCCAGCAGGGGAGCAGTTAAAGGGAGATCAGGCCAGCAGGCAGAGGCGGTTAGGGTGATCAAGCAGGCAGGCAGAGGTGGTTAGGGGTGATCAGGCAGGCAGGCAGGCAAGCAGTTAGGAGCCAGCGGTCCTGGATTGTGAGGGGGATGTCCCAGATTGGAGAGGGTGCAGGCCAGGCTAAGGGACACCCCCCTCCCATGCACAAATTTCATGCACCGGGCCTCTAGTTTATGATAAAATCTCTCAGCAAAATGGGAATAGAGCGAACATACCTAAACAGAGTAAAGAAGAACAAAGCTGGAGGATTCACAGTACCTGACATCAAACTATACTACAAGGCCATAGTAAACAAAGCAACATGGTACTGGCATAAAAACAGATACATAGATCAATAAAACAGAATAGAGAGCCAAGAAATAAACCCACACCTTTATGGTCAATTAATATTTGACAAAGGAAGCAAGAACATAGAGTTGGGTAAAGACAGTCTATTCAATTCAATAAATGGTGTAGGAAATTGGACAGATATGTGTAAAAAAATAAAAGTAGACCACCTTCTTGCACACCATACACAAGTATAAACAAAATGAATTAAAGACTTAAATGTAAGATGCAAAACCATAAATCTTCTAAAATAGTCAGTAAAATCTTGAACATTTCTTGCAGAAATATTTTTTCTGATATATATCCTAGGGCAAGGGAAACAAAAGAAAAAATAAACAAATGGGACTACATCAAACTAAAAAGTTTTTCCACCATAAAGGAAACCATTAACAAACTGAAAAGACAACCCACTCAATGGGAGAACATATTCACCAATGATACATCTGATAAGAAGTTACTATCCAAAATTTATGAATAATTTATACAATTCAACACCACAAAAACAATAATACAGTTAAAAAATGGGCAAAGGATATGGACACTTCACTAAAGAGGACATACAGATGGCCAATAAAAATATGAAGATGCTCAATGTCACTAATCATCAAGAGAAATGCAAATATAAACCACAATATCTGACAGAATAGCTATCATCAATAAGTTAACACACAACTGTTGTCAAAGATGTGGAAAAAAGGGAACCCTCATGCACTGCTGGTGGGAAAGCAGATCGTACAGCCATGTGGAAAACAGTATGAAGTTTCTTCAAAAATTAAAAATGGAACTGCCTTATGAGCCAGCAATTTCACTTTTGGTTCTATATCCAAAGAGACCCAAAACACTAATTTGAAAAAATATATGCACCCCTATGTTCACTGCAGTGCTATTTACAATAGCCAAGATCTGCAAGCAGCCAAAGTGCCCATCAGTAGATCAGTGGATAAAAAAGCTTTGGTACATTTACACAATGGAATATTAAGTGGTTGGGGAAAAAAAAAGGAACTCTACCCTTTGTGACAGCAGGGATGGACCTGGATAGTATTATGCTAAGCAAAATAAGCCAGTCAGAGAAAGGCTTATATATGGAATCTAATGAACAAAGTAAACAAACAAAATAGGAAAAGACTCATAGGTTCAGAAAACAGACTGACAGTGTCAGTGGGGGGAAGGGGGGGAGTCGAGGAGCTGGGTGAAAAGGGTAAAAAGATTAGCAAAAAACAACAAAAAAACACCCTCAAGCTTATAAACAGACAATAGTATGGTGATTATAGGACGGAAAGGGGATTGGGACGGTAAAAGAGGGTAAAAGAGGGATAATTGGTGACGAAATGAGACTTAACTTTGGATAATGAACATGCAATATAATATGCAGATGATACATTATAGAATTGTACACTTTAAACATATAATTTTATTAACGAAATGTCACCCCAATAAATTGAATAAAAAAATAAAACAGCAACCAAAAAAAGGGGGGGGGGGATTTTAAAGCAGGTACTCCTATTTGCAGATGATATAACTACATAACTGGAAAACTTAACAGGTTTAAATAATATAAATAGTAACAGAATAAAGTAAAGTAGTAGGATATAAACTTAAAATATAAAATAACTTTTTTATATATATTTAACAATAAAATATAATGGAGTCAAAAAGATCCCAGACATGATAGCAATAAAAAGAGTAAATTTAAAATATATACATAAACTTTGGGAGGAAAATTCTGAAACATTCTTGATGCATTTGGCAACAGATTTTCCAAATCCAAGAGGAGAGCACTCTGCCAGGGTGGACGTGGCTTCCCAAGGGTGTTCATTTTTTAAAATTGATCAGTTGTGGGTAGAGTGGCTAACAACCAGTATATACTGTGTTCAATATGGCTGGGTATATTGAATCCTCCAGATTATTTTCCTTAGGCCATATAGCAACTACTATTATCTGTCTCCATAGAGGCAATACACAGGGGGGCTAGGGCATGAAAGAAAGGCTAGTCTGATCACGTCCTGGATATATAGCCACATCTACAGGTCCAACTGACAAGGCACTCCTGCCTCACAAGTTAGTCCAGTTTAACCCCTCCCCTCCCCGAAAGTATCTAATTTAATTAATTAATATGTAAACTCATGAGTAACTATGAGAAAAGAATGAGTCTATGAAAATATCTGAACACTGAAAAAACTGGTCATAAATACACTGCTAGGAATCACAGCTGATAAAAATTAAGTGTTGGGACCCATTCTGCCGAGATGGCCACCACACTTGCTGCTCCTGCATTCTCTCCTCCTTCTTCCCCACCTTCCACTACAGGTAGGACCCGTGTGGAGCTGCCTCTGGCATGCCAGAGTCATCACTTGCGAGAACATGATACCCATAAAAAAGGGAGGTGATGGAATTAAATCACCCCCAATCATTGGAAGATTTGGAATCTCCTTGAAAACTGGCATCGTTGATGGCAACCGGCAGGAAGGTAGAGAGGGAGAGAGTGTGAGAGAGTGAGGGAGCGATAGAGGAGTGTGTGGATGTGTGTGGTGTGTGTGTGTATGAGCTAGGGACAGTTAGATTCTGCAGGTCTTCCAAGGGGCTGCCAAACCGGAGACTGCGGAGCTCTGCTCCCAACATGGACACTCCGGGGCACCCAGTGCGGGCCCTGAGACCATGCCATCTTGAGAAACAGAGCTGCTTGAGACTAGGATCCTGGCCTCAGCACCACCCAGTCTGGTCTCAGATGCAAACCAGGACCCTGCCTAACTCTGATCTCCTCTCTTATTACTTTCCCTTTCTTTTCCACCTGTTCTAGCCAGAATAGCTTTCTTGTTAGTACTCAAACATGTAAAGCTAATTTCTTCCTTAGGCCTTTTTTTTTTTAATATATTTTATTGGTTTTTTACAGAGAGGAAGGGAGAAGGATAGAGAGCTAGAAACATCGATGAGAGAGAAACATCGACCAGCAGCCTCCCGCACACCCCACACTGGGGATGCGCCTGCAACCCAGGCACATGCCCCTTGACCGGAATCAAACCTGGGACCCTTCAGTCCGCAGGCCGACACTCTATCCACTGAGCCAAACCAGCCAGGGCTCCTTAGGCCTTTTCTATCTCCTTTGAATGTTCTTCTCTTAGAGAGTCACATGGCTTCAGTCTTACTTCATGTCTCTCTTTATATATTACCTCCTTAAAAAAGCCTTTCCTCATTTGCCCACCTTTCTGTATGCATGTCATCCTATCTAATAAAGAGGGAATATGCTAACTGACCCTCACACTGTAGCAAGGATGGCAGCACCCACAGACAATAAGGAGGGAATATGCTAATTGCTGCCCTGCCCTCAAAGATGGCGGCACCCACAGCCAATAAGGAGGGAATATGCTAATTGACTGCCATGCCCTCAAAGATGGCAGTGCCCACAGCCACAAGATGGTGGCGCCCAGTCCCATCAGCCCCCCAGCTGCCCAGGGCTGGCCCGAGGTGCAGGTAACCAGGGCCGGCCAAGGCTTGCGCTGCCATCAGTGGCAGCAGCAGAGGTGTGATGGGGGCGTCACCTTCTCCTGATTGCCGGGTCACCTCCCGGCCCTGAGGGCTCCCAGACTGAGAGGGGGCAGGCCAAGCTAAGGGACCACCCCCTCCAATGCATGAATTTTCATGCACTGGGCCTCTAGTACTTCAATAAAACTCACTTAAAGGAAGAAAGAAACAAAGGAAGAGAAAAAAATGATCTTGTTTAAGATGTCTAACAATGAGTCAACAATTGTTATTTTGGCTAAATGTTTCCGAACTAAACTGGTATTATCTTATTCACTTGGAACCTCTGCATTTCATTGTTTTTTTGTTAGTATTAATAGTTGTGTCATTTAGTTACCTAAATGTGAATAAGAAAACAAGTTGGAATTGGGGAAAGAAAAAAAAACAAATAAACATGTTTTTCTTTCCTTTGGTAGAAAGTAAACCAGAAGATATAATATTATAAATAAGGCACTTAAATGGCCCTATTGTTATAAATTATGAACTTTTAGCCTAAAATGAGTCTCCTCAGCTAGAAACCTGAATCTATGGAGGGCAAAATACAAAATGATAACATATAGATGTCTTTATTTAAAGGAATTTAAGAATATTTTTTAAACAAGAGGTTCAAAGGAGATGAAAATAGAGGTAGATGCTACACCATGGAATCATTCTCCCTATAGTCTATCAAATTCATGTTTCTTCCTTCTGTGAAGGTAGATAGAATGGCTGTCAACAGAAAACAAAGAGAGCACCTCTCTATCCCTCACCCCCTTTTCAAAGGGGAGGAAAACTGGAGGGAAAAAAGAAGAATAGTAAATGAGATAAAAAAAACCAAAAGTAGTTCTATTAGTATCCCCAGCTAAGACCTTAATTTGCTCCCCAGGTCTCAGACCTTTTCTCTTCAGGCCATGAACCTTTAAAGAGGACTTTCTAAACATCAGAAGGGTGTGCCTCTTCCCTAAGTAGTTGAACAGTGTTCTCTAGTAATGGGTTCCCCTACCCAATTGGTTCTTACTCACCTGAATATAGTGTTCTTTCTTTCCTCACAACTTTCCAGGGCTCTTTTCCTTGCTCCAATAAGGAAATCACAACTGGTTTAGAAATGAAGCTTCCTGGTTACAAGAAAAAATATGTAAAGTGATATTATATAAAAAATAAATTCAAAATTACTTTGATTTAGCCTTGATTGAATTTGTCTACAAGTCAAATGGCAAGTAATAAAGCCTGTAAGACAAAGAGTGGCAAGATGGTTTAAAAACATTTATATTGAGGGGAATTCCAAGATGGCTGCAGAGTAGCCAGAGGCTCTGTCTGTCTGTTTGCAACATCAAATGGGACTTACAGCTAAACTGCAGAGCAAGTGGCTTGAAAAACCAGCTGAAGTGTAGCTGACCTGAAATACTGAGAGCAGGGGGCGTGGAGGAGAGGGTGAGCCAACTCCCACAGATCAGGAGGAATTTTGCAGCAGCAGAGCCCCTTTCCCTGGGAGCGTGGGATCTCGGCCCCACTCAGAGATCCCCAATCCAGAGCATCCGGTGGTGGGAATCAGTTGGGATTCAGTCCAATGGGGAGACTCAGTCCCCACCATCCCAGGGAAAGAACAATTTCTTTGGTACACCAGTCTGGGAAGTTCACTCTGATCTTCATCTGCAGGAGGGGCCGCACAGAAGCCCAGGGCTGGCAGAGGGGTCTGATCCATACATCTAGAAGTAACTCTGAGGGATTCTCTATTAACTGGAAGAACTTTGGGCAGAGAGCCAGATGGGGGCTGAACAATGTGGTTTGGAAAAGAGGATTGGTCTTGTCCACCTCGAGTGCACAGGCGATGCCCCTCCCCACACCTGCAGAACTGCTGGGTCTGCCCTGTCCTGATGTGATCTAAAACAGGGGAAGCAGCGCTGGGCTAGGAGTCTGCACCTGTAATGCTCAGTCTGACCATGCGGAGGATTCAAACATTTGGTTCAGTTGGAGTCTGGGTGGAGGCCAGCCATGCAGAAAGATTGGAATGCCAAGAAAGGCTGCTCTTTAAAATTTATATTTATCCCCTCCTATTGGTAGGGCAGCAAGGTGGAGCCAGGGAACTGGGCAGAACTGATTAATACTGGGCCTCTGGGGTGGGTTCCTGTCCAAAAGATAAGCGGACATATGCTGGGCTTTTCAGCTGCATTACAGAGAACCAGAACCGAACTCACCATTGAGTTCAGCCAGATCAACCTTGGGAAGGAGAGGTCGAACCCTGCCCTTCTCCCTTCCTCCCGCCCAAGTTACAGGCACTACCCCCAACACCAGTCTGTTAAACCAACCCAGCCAGGTCCTGAATAAACCCACTGACTGCAATTCCGAGGGGGAAGGGAGAGCAGCTCAGAGCAGGAACATTCAAGGTGCAAAACCAAGACAGAGGCCCTGCACATCAAACTTCTTGGGGCTCCACCCTACTGAGTTTCAGTCAGATTGCCAAGAGCCAAGCAAGAACAGTGATATTGGCAGCACCAGAAAACCTCCCAGGGGGCCCAGGACCAGCACACCAAGTGGCCAGATTTGGACAACATTGGAGCAAAATCCAGTGAGCTCCCCAAACAGCAGTTCTAAAGGGTATTACAGCAGGCACAAAAAACTGAGGCAAACTCCATTATTTTTCTTTAACCTTTTCTGTATTTTTTGTTATATCTCACTTATAATTCTTTTTTCCTTTCTTCTCTTCTTTCTTTCATATCTCTTATTTCTCTCTTTTATTTTTTCTCTGTATGTTTTATTATTTTTTTCATTTTTCTTTCCTATTCAATATTTTTATTCATTATCATTACCTTTTAAAATTTTATTATTTCCTTTATTATTTGTTCATTTCTTATTTATTCTTTTCTCTTTCTTTTTTCTTTCATATACTCTTATTTTATTTCTTTTTTCCTTCTCTAATCTTTTTAATTATGTTTTTAAATTGATCTGAGAGAGGAGGGAGAAAAACATCAATGTGAGAAACATGGATCAGTTGCCTCCCATTCACATCCCAACTTGGAATCAAACCTGCAACGTAGGTATGTTTCCTTACTGGGAATCAAACCCTCTACCTTTTGGTGCACATGATGATGCTCCAACCAACTGAGAAGCCTGTCCAGAGCCTCTTCTCTAGTTTACTGTCTCTTGTGTTTTAGTATTCTTTTTTCTTTCTTATTCTTTTGTTGTTTTGGTTGGTTGGTTTTTTCCCATGTTGTTTTCAGTTTGCTCTTATTTTATCTTATTTTGTTCTGTCAGCATCTGTGTAACAGTTGGCATGAAGTGCTCAGCATTGAGCCTCAAAGTCAGCCAGCCTGAGGGCTGAGCCCATCCGTGAAAGGGACAACAGCAATCAAGACTCAATTACAACATGTAATCCCACATAACCTGCACAAGGGACATTCCTAGAGCATCTAGCTCTGAAAATAAAGGAGAGTACACCACTGGGTCCCATAAGACACCCCCTATAGAAGCCCACCCCACCAACACTGGGAGTGATAGCAGCCCTATCCAATACACAGAAACACAAAGAAACAGCCAAATGAGAAGATAAAGGAACAGGTCCAAAATAAAAGACAGGAGGAATCTCCACAAAAAGAGCTAAATGAAATGGAGGCAAGCAATTTATCAAAAACAGAGTATAAAGTAATAATTTTAAGAATATTCAACATACCATGAAAAACAACATGAAAAAACAATCAGTTGGAAAAGAAGGATGACATCTGAAATAAAGAATACAATGGAAGGAATAAACAGTATATCAGTGTAAGCAAAGAATTAAATCAGCAAATTAGAAGATAGGTAGAAAATAATCACTCCATCAGAGCACCAAAACAAAACAAAAAAAAATTTAAAATCATAAGGATAGTTTAGGGCAGCGGTTCTCAAACGGTGGGTCGCGACCCCTTTGGAGGTCGAACAACCCTTTCATAGGGGTCGCCTAAGGCAATTGGAAAACACACATATAATTACATATTGTTTTTGTGATTAATCACTATGCTTTAATTATGTTCAATTTGTAACAATGACATTGGGGGTCACCACAACATGAGGAACTGTATTAAAGGGTCATGGCATTAGGAAGGTTGAGAACCACTGGTTTAGGGGAACTGTGGGACAACATGAAACATGTGAAATAACATCCTCATCATAGGGGTAATAGAGGGAGAATATGAGCAAGGGTGAAAGAACCAGTTTGAATATTGACAGAAAACTTTTCTAACCTGGTGAAGGATAAAGTAATGCAAATTTAGGAAGCACAGAGAGTCCCAATAAAGATGAACCCAAAGACCCACACAAAGACACATCACAATTAAAATGGCAAATGTTAAAAACAAAGAGAGAAACTCAAAAGCCTCAAGAAAAAGGAAGTCAGTCAAGTGCTGGAGAGGATGTGGAGAAAATGGAACACTCGTGCACTGCTGGTGGGAATGCAGACTGGTGCAGCCACTATGGAAGACAGTATGGAGTTTCCTCAAAAAACTACAAATGGAACTTGACCCTGTGATCCCTCTTCTAGAAATATATCCCAAGAAACCAGAAACACCAATCAGAAAGGATATATGCACCCCTATGTTCATAGCAGCACAATTCACCATAGCTAAGATCTGGAAACAGCCTAAGTGCCCATCAGTAGATGAATGGATTAGAAAACTGTGGTACATCTACACGATGGAATACTATGTTGCTGTAAAAAAGAAGGAACTCTTACCATTTGCAACGGCATGGATGGAACTGGAGAGCATTATGCTAAGTGAAATAAGCCAGTCAATGAAGGAAAAATACCACATGATTTCACTCATTCATGGATAATAAAGACCATTATAAACTTATGAACAATAATAGATACAGAGGCAGCTGCCTCAAACAGATTGTCGAACTGCAGCGGGAAGGCCGGAAAGGGTTGGGGGGCAGAAGGGAGCGGGGTAAGAGATCAACCGAAGGACTTGTATGCATGCATATAAGCATAACCAATGGACATAAGACACTGGGGGGTAGGGGAGGACGGGGGATTGTCAAGGGCGGGGGGAAAAAAAGGACACATATGTAATACCCTTTGTAATACTTTAAGCAATAACACTTAAAAAAAAATAGTATACTAAACATTAAAAAAAAGAAAAGAAAAGAAAAAAAGGCAGTCAGTTACATATAAGGGAGTTCCTATAAGGCTATCAGCTGATTTCTCAACAGAAACACTACAGGCTAGCAGGGACTGGTATGATTTATACAAAGTAATGAAAAGCAAGGATCTGAAACCAAGACTTCTCTATCTAGCAAAGCTATCATTAAAAATTGAAGGTGAAGTAAAAAGCTTCCCAGGCAAAAAAAAAAAAAGGCTAAAGGAGCTTATTACCACCAAACCACCATTGTAAGAAATGTTAAAGGGACTGCCTGTAAGAAGAAAAAGAGGAACAAAGGCATTAAAAAAGGCAATAAGAGAGTACCTATCAATAATAACCTTACATATAAATAAATTAGATACTCCAATCAAAAGAGATAGGGTAGGCAAGTGAATAATAAAACAGGACCCATATATATATATATACTGTCTGTAAGAGACCCAGCTCAGAACAAAGGACTCACAGGATGGATTCTGAATCAGGAAGGAGCAGTTCAGAACATGAAAACAAGGGCTTGCAGTGAGGAGACATGGTGGACTGTGCCTAAAAATTTTTACCTTGCATTGATATTTGACATGAAAGAGGAGCAGGAGGAGCGCATTCTCGGCCATCTCAATGCAGACCTTCATCACATGGAAGTGCAGCCACACCCTCATTCAGCTGGAGAGGTGGTTCACTGTAGTCGGACCACCCCAGGCCAGGCAGTGGCTGTTCCTCACAATTGGGAGCTTGGCAAGTGGGGACTCCGACTAGCAGGCCCAAGACCTTGAGATGCTCTAGCACATCCGAAGGCAACTGCTGATGGAGGATGACTGGCAGCCGTCCCTAACATTCAGCTGCATCCCTCAGCCCTGACTTTGCCAGTCAGGATGACAAGCTCCAGGGCCAGAAAAGCAGCAAAACCACACCCGTGACCCCATGGCTGACCTCAGGACTAGCTACATTGAATAATGACCCCTTGCCTTAGTGCCAGCCAATCAATCAGTGGAGACCACAACTCT